GCACCTCTACACCTGACCGGAACCAGCTGGATGGAGACGCCAGCGTGGAAGAAGAAGATTGGACCATGTGATGGATTTATGGGTGTGGGGATAAGATCATGAACTTTCAACTGGGTGGGAACCCCAGGAAGTGTTCAGAATTGGGATTTCCACAAATGGTTGCCAACATGTCTGTTTTATTAAATTGGAACTTTAAGGATAGCTCTGCCTTGGACTCTGATTTAATTCTGCACGATATTTGGAACGCTGACAGGGCCCTGTTTCCCAGGCTTCAGTCATTTCTTTGGCTAGCCATTCAAATATGGGCACCACGGCGATTTAGTGGATTCCTGGCCCAAAACTGCACTCATCCACCTTCATCAAGCTAAGCAAGATATCTAGTAGTGGCCACTTCAGTTTTCAACTCCCTGCACTTTACAATTATTGTGGATCCCTTGGGAAAAAAATAATGGATTGTATTTTACCAAATTTGAAAATGGCTAATATGGGTGAGATAGGTAATCAACCTAGAAGATGGGTATAACACACAAACTGATCTTGATGGATTAAAAGTGATGCAATGAAATTTAATAGAGATGAATGCAGTTACAAGTAACCCTCATTTTATGACTATTTGTTAGCAACCTGTTACAATGGCTCTCAAAAAACTGACTTACAACCCTTTTCACATCTGTCACAGTATCACTCTAATCACAATTCACATACCTAGCAAACAGCATGTATTTATGATAGTTGCATTACTTGGAAGAGCTAACATTCTACAATGATACCTTTAAAACCATCAAACATCTGTCTCTTCTTGGGAAGGACTCAATACGTGGATAAAAATAGAAAATTCAATCTAAACATCTGGCTGACTGTGCAACCAACCATAATAATTGATCATATCAAATATTGTTAATTATATTGTTTTGAGGTTGTCTGAGGAAATTTCTTACAAAGCCCTGAAATACAGCACGTAATCTTTACATTCAAATACTGCTAAATAGAAACAGAACTTTCCAAAATAGGAAAACTGCTGGAGGAGCTGCTGATCTCTGAGACTGTAAAAAAAANCTTCGGCCGCCATCGCCGCCTCCAGAAGGAAAAAGAACGTTAAGTTTCGTTTCTTTTCCTGCGAATCAGGTGACCGCCTTTGAGCTCTGCCCAGGAGAGACCTCCGGATGAATTGTTGTTGCTATTGCGGTTAGTTTCAGTAACTTCTTAAAGGAAAAAGATAGTATTTTGAAAAGAACAAATTGGAGAGAAGCAAGCCTTCCCAAAACGGATCCCCGATCAATTATTATTGGCCCATTCAAGTCGTTAAAAGGGGGGGGGGTTAAAAATGGGGAGAAGCAAATATTATTGGGAGGGACCCCTCAATAGATTACGAATCCAAATATCCTGCTAGAGGGAAAGATATTGAAATCACCTGGGGAGAAAGAAACATCCATGGGACGGATTCACCATCAATTATTATGCAGACAGCTGCTTGTTAAATGGAAAAATGCTTTTTAAAAAAAAATAGCAGGAAGAAGGAAACATTTATGGGACAGACTGAAGTAAAGTTGGCAGGAAGAAATTGGGAGAAACAATGAGTAGCCTCAGGCCAATTTAGGACAGGGGGATCCATGGGGGGGGGGGAATCTGGTGGGTGGAGAACATCTTATAAGCCCTTTGTTCAAGGGCTTTTGGGGGAGACTTGGTCATAATGGCACATGGACACTCCCAAACCCCTTTCTTTATCTTGCTGTTCTCCCCAGTTGTCCCCAGTTCAGGTCTGAGCCAGGTCCCGAATCCAATGGACGCCAGACATGATGTACAGGTTTTCTGATTGCTTTTTATTGTACTCCAAGGGAAAGGGTTCCTGGTCAAAAGGCCAAGAACCAAAAACAAAGGATTAACTGAACTTCATACATTTTCACTAAAGGAGAAGGTGGGGACAAAGTGAAATAATAAGAAATATCCTCTAATAAACATTTTAGCAATAATTCTACAATTTGTTCTACTGGTCTATAACGGTCCCATTCCTAAGCCTTGGCTAATGAATGCCCCAGGAGTTACCTAACGCACATTTCATTTGCTGCCAGCCATCTCTATTCCTAACTTTTAGCTGAGGTCTGCAAGTTGTCTAATACTTAATTTTATCATAGCAATAGCAATATAGCAATAGCAGTAGACTTATATACCGCTTCATAGGGCTTTCAGCCCTCTCTAAGNGTAGGAGTAGAACAGAACAGAAAAGAACAGCAGTTTTATTTGGCCAAGTGTGATCAGACACACAAGGATTTTGTCTCCTCTGCATTAGCTCATGTTGTACATATGAATGGCAAGTAATTCTTCAAAAATCATAAAATCATTAAAGTTTACTGCATAATCAAAGTCTTTAAGGTACATAATCCTATATTTTTATTTTTTGTTTCATCTATCATATTTCTCTTAAAGTTACTGGCATCAGAGCTTAAAATAGCAAACAATTCCAATTCCTACAACTCATATTTACCTTTGTGTAGTTGAAGTCCACTTTCCAGAGTATCTGGGGAAGAAAAGGGAGGAATTCAGCATCTCATCACTGGAATTGGAGCAACAGAAGGGCCTCCCTTCAGATACCCTGGTTTGCTTTCCTTAGACTCAAATCAGGAAATAAGGAATATGGAAAGCCACAAGCCAAAATGCCATTTTTTGGCTATATATATTCCATCAGGTATAAATATATTCTACTATATATTCCATGTACAGGTAGTTCTCAACTATTTGTGTACTGAAGTTAGAGCGCCACTGACAAAAGTGATTTATGACCGGTTCTCACCCTTACGACTCTTGCAGCCTCCCCAGTTATGTGATCAAAATTCGAGCACTGGGAACCAGCTTGTATTTACGATGGTTGCAGCATACCATGGCTTGTCTTCTTCAACCTTCCTGAGGAGCTTCTGACAAGCAAAATCAATGCATGAAGCCAGATTCATTTATCAGTGAAATGAACCCCGATTTTCCGTGAATTTCTGAATAACTGTGGCAAAAACATTCGTAAAATGGGGAACTGCTCACTTAACAACTGCCTTGCTTAGCAACAGAAATGTTCAGCTCAACTGAGATCATAAGTCAAGAACTACCTGTATATATTCCATTATACTTAGTGGAAACTTATTCTGCTTCCCCAATGATCAGTGCATATGGATTTGGGCTACGAAGAATACAGGTAGTCTCGACTTACAATCATAACTGAGCCACTGATCCTGAAATTGATCCCTCTTTGATCCATGTGACACCAACCAAGAAACTCTCTTGGATTCTCAAAATGTCATCCAGCATAAAACTCCAGCGGCTGTTTATTACCTCTCAATTTTTTCATGGCACTTTTCAGAAGCCCAGTGATATCACTATAATCTGATATTGTCCACTTCGGCTCTAAAAGTAAATCCTGTGGATTCTCATATGTTTCCTTAGCCTGGTACCTGGCAAGACAAAATAACAGAGTTGGAAGGGACCTTGTAGGTCATCTAGTCTAGGTGCTTCGAAACTGGCATGCATTTATGATAGTTGCATTACTTGGAACAACTTACAATGATATCTTGAAACCATCAAACATCTTTCTCTTCTTGGGAAGAACTCAATAGGTGGATAAAATGGCCAAATGGAATCTAAACATCTGGCTGAGTGTGTAACAGACTATAACTGTTCACCATATCAAATACTGCTAATTATAGAGTTGAAAGGCGCCTTGTAGGTCATCTAGTCCAACACACAAACACACTACCCAAGCAGGAGACGCTACACCGTTTCTGACAGATGGCAGTCCGGTCTCTTCTTGAAAGCTTCCAGTGATGAAGCTCCCACAACGTCCAAAGGAAACCTGTCCCAGTGGTTCATTCTCCTCAGTCAGAAAATTTCTCCTTATGTCTAGGTTGAGTCTCTCCTTCATCAGTTTCCATCCATTATTCCTTGCCTGGCCTTCAGGTGCTTTGGAAAACAGGTTGACCCCCCCCATTCTCTCTGTGACAGACCCTCAAATATTGGAACACTGCTATCCCGTCACCCCTGGTCCTTCTCTTCCCTGGACCAGCCATGCCCAGTTCCTGTAACCGTTATCAACCTGCCAATAGAAGAAGCTTTCTAAACCATCAGTGCTTGAGGATTGGCTAGTGACAGGATCCAGTCTGGATTGGTCACCAGAGGTTTTTCTCCTCTGAGCTTTCAGACTCGTGTTGGATGATTGGTTGCCCCTCCTCTCTTTGGAAGAGCTTTATAGCTCCCGCTGCCTTAAGAAAGTTCAAAACATTCTTAAAGATCCATCTCATCCTGAAGAACTATTTTTTGAACTATTGCCATCTGGCAAACGGTACAGGATGATATAATCAAGGACAAATAGGCTGAAAAACAGCTTCTATCCCAGAGTAGGAACTATGTTGAACTCTACTGTATAGTGCAATACAAATGCAGTATGATGGGTTTTCAATTCAATTGTGTACAATATGAAGCTCTGTGTTGTTTTTAATATTATTATTATTATTATTATTATTATTATTATACATTTTTACTCATTAAGAATGAAACTCAACTGAATCAAGTCAATGGTATTTGTGATGCATTATTATTGTTGTTGTTATTTTCTTCTGTATGTTGTACACTGAAGATGGCATTTAATTTCATTGTACGAGGTTCAATGACAATACATTTAAACTTAAAGGTAATGCAATGAAATATCAGTTAACATCTGTCACAGTGTCCCTGTAATCACAGTTTGGGTGCTTCGAAACTGGCATGCATTTATGATAGTTGCATTACTTGGAACAGTTTACATCCTACAATGATACCTTGAAAACCAACAAACATCTTTCTCTTCTTGGGAAGGACTCAATAGGTGGATAAACATTCAAATTTCAATCTAAACATCTGGCTGACTTTGAAACCAACCATAATAATTGATCACATCAAATATTGCTAACTATACTGTTATCTAAGGTTGTCTTAGGAACTATCTAAAGAGCCCTGATAATAAATTACGTGACCTTTACATTAAAATACTGCTAAATACAAACAGAACTTTCCAAAATAGGAAAACAGCTGGAGGAGCTGCTGATCTTTGACACTATAAAGAAAAGGGTGGGTTTACTTACTTCTTCAAGACGCTTCCAATGTCCTGAAAAATAAAGAGACAAAGCATTGACAGGAACCATTCTCTACGCATAAAATTAAATTCTTAAATTCACAAAATAAATGAGTGGACAATCAGACACTAACAAAACTACTTTCATTTTTTCAATGAAAAAAAATGTTCTTTTCCCTCCAGCTCTTCAACCTCTTTTGGAGAGGTATTGTTTTTACTCTTTTGCCTAAGAAAAATTATACCCCGGTTGAATCCATCACAATTACAATATTGGAAAAACAAAATAGTGCATCAATAGGATTTTAAAAAATCCCCTGCATTTATGCTTCCAGAATCAAGGCCCTTTGGGAAATCCAAGTAGTTATTATACTTTGTAGAAGGTCATCAGTGTTGGGTTTCTCCTGGCCCTGGAGATTAAGGGGAGGGGGAAGACCCTACATAAACACCCACCAACACATCCCCTATTGTGAAGAATACAGACAGTGACCATTACTTTGAATTCTTGCTTCCCGCATGGGCTGCTTTTTCTGTATTACACTATGTGTCCCTAACATTAGCCATTACAGGTAGTCCTTGACTAAGTAGTTCATTTAGTGACCATTCCTTTCCATAGAAAGAGTCAAAAAGATTTCTAAATGAGGAGTTGAAAAAGAGATTTTGTACTTGGTCGAGTGCAGCCAGAATTCTACATGCAGACATGGAAAGATTTATCAATCTCCACAAGAAAAGAATGGATGGAAAAAGTGATGGGAGCTAGAAAAAATGATAAAATTGACTGCTTTAAGTAGATATGACCTGTTATTTCTACTTGGAAGCTGCTTCTAAACTTTGTGCTGAGATTTCTTTAAAAAAACTCTTGATGCTTGATTTTGCTATTAGACTAATCTGTTTTTATACACATGGTTAATAATGACTAAATATGCAAAAATAAAAAGTTGAGGCTGTAATTTTATTTTGCATTTTACTGTGCAGAAAAGAAGTTCAGACACTTTTTTCCTTTTTTCTTTATCTTACACTTCTTTCCCATTCTTATCCTTCTCCATTTCCCTATTTTCTTTCTTTCCATTTCTACTTTTCACTATTATAATTTTGACTAAATTTATGAGAAATTAAAAAAAGGAAAGAGACAAAAAGAGTGTTCTGTGGAAGGCACTACAGCCATCTCCCAATACTTGAATGGCTGCCATAGAGAAAAGTGCATCGATTTAGTCTCCGTAGCACCTAAGGGCAGAACAAGAGGGCCGGGGTGGAAGCTCATCACAAGGAGATCCAACCTAAAATAAGGAAGAATTTCCCGACAGTGAGAATGATTAATCAATCACTGGAACAGCTTCC